TACATACATACAGTACATACAGTACATCCAGTACATACAGTACATACAGTACATACAGTACATACAGTACATACAGTACATACAGTACATACAGTACATACAGTACATACAGTACATACAGTACATATAGTACATACAGTACATACAGTACATACAGTACATACAGTACATATAGTACATACAGTACATGCAGTACATACAGTACATACAGTACATACAGTACATATAGTACATACAGTACATACAGTACATACAGTACATATAGTACATACAGTACATACAGTACATACAGTACATACAGTACATACAGTACATGCAGTACACATACACAGTACATACAGTACATACAGTACATACAGTACATACAGTACATACAGTACATACAGTACATACAGTACATACAGTACATACAGTACATACAGTACATACAGTACATACAGTACATACAGTACATACAGTACATACAGTACATATAGTACATACAGTACATACAGTACATACAGTACATATAGTACATACAGTACATACACTACATACAGTACATACAGTACATACAGTACATGCAGTACATGCAGTACATGCAGTACATACAGTACATACAGTACATACAGTACATACAGTACATACAGTACATATAGTACATACAGTACATACAGAACATACAGTACATACAGTACATACAGTACATACAGTACATACAGTACATACAGTACATATAGTACATACAGTACATACAGTACATACAGTACATACAGTACATACAGTACATATAGTACATACAGTACATACAGTACATACAGTACATACAGTACATACAGTACATACAGTACATACAGTACATACAGTACATACAGTACATACAGTAGAGTAGAGTAGAGTAGAGTAGAGTAGAGTAGAAGAGTACAGTACAGTACAGTACATAACATACATAACAATGTCTATTGGGTCAGCACGAGTGCTCATCCTTGCTGCCGGGCTCCATTCGGGTTCACCAGGAGTCTGTTGTTCTACTTGGCCAAAGATGCATGGCCGTTCTTCGTGGCCGTTGGCAGTGCTTTGACGGCCCGGGGCCAGGAAAAGCAGAGCCCCATACTGCTGAACCAGCTGATGGCGTTCGGAGTCATTGCGCAACACATCGTGGCTGGGACAGTTGAAGGCAATGTTTATCAATTTTCGCCATGCACGGTTAATCCATCATTCAGGGAATCTACTGGGCATAGGCCTAGTTGTTATTTTTTGGGGAGCCCCCATTGTTTTGAGTTTTTAAAGCGAATCCAAGGTGAACATTCTGACCCAAACTCAATCTTTCAAACATCTTCATTCAGATACCCGGACGCTTCTGGGCAAACTTGGCAATATCTTTAGCTTTGCACAGGGCGAAGGAGATGCAGGTTCAGGTGAAGAATCCTTTGGCTTCTCACGTGAGTGCCTGGCTTGACACGTTTCCCTTTCTTCGTGTCCACAAATGGACAATGAACCCACTTTTGCATGGGTTGGTATGGGTCAAAACCCTGGCGCCCTAGTGAATGGCCAATTTATATTTTTTTATACAGAAATTATATTATAACCCAAACGGAAACTCCCTTTGCCCCATTCGTATGGTCCAATAGGTATTGACCCATCCCTGGCCACCATGGCGCAGAGTGGCTCAAGACTTAGGTGTCTTTTGAGGACTTTCGGACTGCCGAGTTCTTTGGGATCCACCCACATGCTTGCGACCTTTCCACCGATCTGCTTCATGGCACTAGTAGCTGTGAAACACCCATGGCTGTCGTTGACGGTGGGTGCCAATGTCTTCTTGCCCGGATTCGCCGGAGCCTTTGGGAAGTACCTCATTGGCTTTTCCTTGCAGTCAAAAGAGCGGACCAACCAGATTCTGGTTCGCGGTTTGAATCTTCTTATGTTCTCATATTTTCTCATCCCTACTTGAGAAGATTATACAGCCAGATAGTCAGTGATTTGGGATTAGTGGCCCACCGCACCAGGATGGCGTTTACCACCCTGTCACGCCCCTTTTTGCCAGAAAACGGCTTGCTTGGAGCGCTCATTTACCTGACCCTGCCAGTATGCTTTCTGGGCACCTGTCTCTGGTGGTCCGAAGCAATCCGTGCCAAGCACCAGACAGAGGGCCCGCAGTCCCCAGAGATCTTCTACCTGACGCGCGCCTACAAACCTGAATGGCGCCTTTGGGAAATCGAGCGCTTTCTTCGGAAGATGTCTCTGAGTGTGGTGGCAACCAGCCTGTCGGTCACCTACTGGGATTCGGTGCACCTGTTCCTGCTTTTTGGGATCCTTCTCTCCTCCTTGCTTCTCATCGCAATTTGCAGGCCCTACAAGCTGCACCGCTGGAATATCACGGAGGCATTCCTGCTGACCACTGCCCTCATTACAATCAGCCTTGTCTCCATGCTGCAGGCAAATGAGGCGCACTGGGCGACGGATTTGGAGGCGGGGAAGGTCCTGGCAACCGTCATCATCCTTCTGCTCGCTGTGATCTGTGGAAACATGATGTTTCTGGTGACCTGGACCTGTTTGTTTGCTGGTATCTGGCGATTTTATGTTGGCACCTTTGAGGTATTTCCCCTGTTCAGAGGGACTTTTTTTGGGGGGCCTTGAACAGCACATACAAGGTGATGGTGACGCTGTATCAGGAGTGGCAGTGGAAGGCAGGGCGGCAACAGAGGCCCTCAGAGGAAGTCGAGGACGACGACTGATGGTAGTCATTTGAAGCGCCAAAAAGAGGTGGAAATCCATGACCTGCGGGTGATGTCAAGGGGGGTTATTTTCTTAAAAAAAGAGGAGACTGGTGATGAGTAGCTACTATTTCAGTAGGATTAGTAACATGGCTTGAAATTTATGTTTGAATGATTTTAGTCTCGGTTTTTCAACTCCCACTGGAAGGTACTTGGAATGATTGATCACGGCATCTCTTCTAGGATCCTCATCAGAGAAGCCGCAGAGGCTCTCAAAAAAGTTGTCTTTCTTATTTCTTCGGGTAGACTTTAGTGAATGATTAGGGTCAGTGGGTTAATGATTAATGCTTGATAGTTTATGTTTATCCTACCACGATGTAACGTTGACTTGTTCCTCCGTGGTATATTCATTGCATATCGAAAGTTTGGCACCAGGAAACCAGTCGCTTTGAATGGTTTTGAGAAGTTTCTGGCACCCCCAAATTGGGACACGTTAATTACCAGAAGTTCACCATCCAAACATAGCTTTCCTGTAGATGTAGGATTCAAATCCTAATTCTTGTGCTTGAAAAAACGCCATATTTGCAGCTTTCCTCCTCGTTTTGTGGAAAGGTAAGGGTGAGTTTTATTGAAAAATGCTGCAAAGACAAATGGTCCAAAGAATCCATCAAGACAGCGCTGGGCGCGCGGGGGCCCCGCGCGGGGTGTCTGTATTTGTTTCACCAGCTCCTGGTGGTTCCAACTTTCGCCTCCAAGGATATGACGATTGGTGTGGCTTTGCTGCATGTGTTGGGTGCACACGTGGTGAAAAAACAAAGCAACCAACTGAACCGAGGGTATAGACAAACCCAGCTAAAAAGAATGGTGCAACCTGACTTGGACTACTGGTTGGGTTCACTGGGACCATTTGGGGCTACTCCAGCCACCGGGGAATACAATTGACATTTGGAATAGTCCCTGACTGGGGGATCCACTGGGTCCATGATTCTTGGAAGCATTCCCCACGACATATAGAAGCGAAGATCAATCCCGACGAAACAGGGGTGGCTTCAGGTGGAGTTTGGTCATCGATACGTGCCGAGCCTAGGGATATGTCTGCTATTACCCAACTTTTGACCACCGGGGCGCAAGACATTTTGGGTCTAGAATTCCTTGCGCCTCCCTAAAATTATGGTAGAAGTAGAAGTGGAAAATTCATGTGTTGCCAACAGGGCCATCAGGATGTTCCAGCGGTTCATTCTCCAGCTTGCACTTGGCGCTTGGCGCCGCTTATGGCGAGGGGCTATCTACTTGTCAGATGGCTTTGACACCATCAGTCCAACATGTTTTCGATTCAAAAAGACTTCAATGGGTGCATGATTGGATATGATTGGCCTAGGTTGATATCGAGGGGGAACACATTAAACTCCAGATCTGGGACACTGCTGGACAAGAAGCGTTCAGATCAATCACGTCCGGGGCTCCCAGATGCAACGCAACATGGCATGGGGATGACCCCGGTGGACTAAGTCAGTGACTTTCTGGGACGGGCCGGAGCAACCTGTGGCTTCAAGATTGGTGCGTTTGATGTTTGCATTTGGAGATATTTCATGATATTTCTGCCAAACATGCTTGATAATATCATAGAATATCATCACTCAACATGGGAATGATGGAATTTTTGCTTGAACATATCCAACATATCCAACATGTTGGTGGTAGATGTTCTTTTAGATGTTCTTTTCCATCTTTTTCCACCTAGTTGCTCGCCCACCTGAGGAGAGCCTACTACCGCGGCGCCACTGGTGCGGGGGCGATGGGAGCTTCACGGAGGGATGGGATGATGGATGAAATGGATGAAATGCCAGGCATGACTTGGCAGCATGGTAAATCTACACCAAAAACTGAAAAACATATATGATAGTAATTTATGATAGTACATGTCGTGGGATTATCTGTAATAAAGTACTATTATAGTTAGTAATACAACTAACATAGTAACGCACTAACCCATAGAATGCTATGAAAAGACATAGCAGTCATTGCATCACATTTCTCCATTCGAGCAGCCATCTGTAGCCCATCTGTAGCCCATCTGTAGCAGCACCAGCCACGCAGCTGACGCCAGCTGCAGCCGTGCTGACGCCAGGTGCACTGCTGGTGTACGACATCACCCGACGGGCCTCCTTTGACCGCCTGGCGCAGTGGCTCATGGACGCGCGGCAGAATGCCCAGCCGCGACTCGGCTGAGCGGCGGGCCGTGGGGATATGACATGATATAACCAGTGTTAGTTCTATTAAGATGTTAGTTATATGTTAGTTATATGTTAGTTATATGTTAGTTATATATGTTAGTTATATGTTATTATATTACTATGTTAGTTGATAATACTATATGACAATATGACAGTTATATTGTATATTTCTTATGGGTTAGTGCATTGCTATGTTAGTTGTACTGCTAACTATAATAGTACTTTATTGCAGATCATCCCACGACATGTACTATCATAAGTTACTATCATAATTTACCATGATATTTCATAGCTTTTCCCATTTGAAAGTCCTATGTAGAATGACCTTATTTCAGGTGGGTGAATCACTATATTATGTTATTGTAAATCATAGGTGTTGATGATGATGGTGTTTATTCTTCCTTTAATAATGGATATAAAGGGGTGTTTCATGGGTTTATGATGTTTGTGATCGGTGTAATGATGACTTGATAAGGGGTGAATCCGCATGTGCATCATCTATCATCGGTGTAACAAAATGCACCAACTATAGTCACTATAGTCAGTATAGCCAGTTGGGTAAAATGGTTGGGAACATGTGACGGGATAATCATGATGACTGTCGGTTTCAATTTCAATCCCATTCTAGATGTAAAACTATGTAAAACTAAAATCATTGATGTTTCAAAGTGATCTAAGAATGTGATCATCACCCGCGTTGTTAAAGGTTGTTGTCGTTGCCTGCACATCGCAAGGCACCGCTGCCCTCCCAAGATATGGACATAGATTTTTTTCTTCCAGGGATTCCCATCCAGGATTTTCTGGGAAAAATGGCCATTTGATCAAGGCCAATTTTTACCAAAGCTTACCCTCTGGTAAACGAACTAACATTAACTATGGAAAGATGAACCATTGATAAAGTGGGTAAATCCGCTATTTCGACTGGTCCAGCTATTCAATAGCGAAGTGTAAGAAATTACCAGGCAGCTTCGTGTAGATGAGTGATTTTTGTATTGGTGAGGAACATGGTCATCATGCTCATCGGCAACAAGTGCGACTTGGATCGCCGTGAAGTGAGCTTCGAGGAGGGCGCCTGGTTCGCCCGACAGCCGCCTGGTATCGGCGACATGAAACATGGGCGATCTGGGAAAAGAACTGCAAGCGATGGTGATGTTTTATGAACATAGGATTGTGATATATTGTGATGGTGATGTTGAGATGAAATATATTCGTCACTGAATTTTTGAATGAACTTGAACAAAATTGAGAAAGTGAAGAAGCATGGGGATTGATGTGGGGATTCAAGCGAGTTTGAGCGGCGAGAATTGCGACATCAGATTGGGGTCAAGTCTTTTGGGCACTCGAAAGTGGGATGTTTTGAGATCCCGAAAAGTGCCAACCTTTCAATGCCCAGGGTCTCAGGTCTTGAACTGAATGGATAGGATGCCTCAGAGCAGCAGTGGCTCATTGGCAATCATAGAATAAGCATAGTCACAAAGTTCGCATGTTTTTCAATATTTTTCAACATAGGGTACGGTATCCCGAAGTCCACTCGAATCTAGTTTCATTTTTGCAAAACTGCCGGAGTTTTGAGTTTTTCTTTGGGCGGTTCCTGAGCCCACCGAGGAACGGTTTGTTCTTCATGGAGACATCGGCCAAGACAGGCACCCAATAGGATCTGGGGATACAACTGATATCGATGAAGGTTGGGTCGTCCTGGAACCACAGACCAGGGTGGGTGGTCTTCGGGTTCTGGAGGTCCATTCACCCAACCCATTGAGATCAGCTGGGCTGGGCCATACCAGGCCAGAATGTGGAATCAGCCTTTCTGGACACAGCCGGGTGCTTGATGAGGGCTGAAAGCTGAAGTCATTTTGAACCAACTGGCTCATTGCCAGCCTTTCAACGGATTTCAACGTCTGACTTGGTTTCCACATGCCATCACGTGATTCCGAGGCCAAGCAAATCTATGAGAGCCTTCAAGCAGGTTTGTTCGACATGAGCTCCGACGCTCATGGCATCACAGCCGCCCTTGCCATGCTTTTTGAAGAGGGGATTTGACCTTAAAACTGCTTTTTTGTCCTGTTCAACAAGGCCATCAATCACAGGACATGGTGATTGGGCCGAGCTAACTATACCCTCTGGTTAATTAACATAGCCATGGAAAATCACCATTTATAATAGGTAAACCATCTATTTCTATGGGCCATCTATACCATGGCTATGTTAATTAACCAGATGGTACTCCAAAAAAATGGGTGGGTGATGATCGGTGACCTTGCCGAGAGAATCTGCCAACCTGGCCAACGGCCAGGTTGGCATAGGGCCATCTGTGCGCCCGCAGCCGCGAGAGCACGTCAACTCCCTGCAGTTTGCTTGCTGGGCGGCCCCAGTGCTGTCAGAAGGAGATTTGGGCTCTGCAGTTTCAAAGTAATATTTTTTTGCTCTATTTAACTCTATTTTACCACCACGTATTTGGGATGCTGAACCCAATTTATCAATTGTAAGGAGACCATTGTTCAGGAGTCGAAACCCACAACCAGGATGAACCAGGAACTGGACCTCACAATTTTTAGCCATTGGAACGATTGAAGGGTCCTACAAACCAGGTCTTGCCCAATCGGGGCTTTCGGTAACTCGCAAAAATCATCAAAAATCCAAAGATTTGATCAAACCAAATGGGTGCAGGTCAAGATATGATATAGCAAGGTACCAGAGATGGACTTGTCATTGGAGTTTACTATGAATTGAAGTACTAGTTGCAGTTGCAACACCAGCAATTTTCCCCTGTGACACGATGAGCCTTAATTCATAGGCACTTTGGGATGGTTGAACCAACAACCACTCCTTTTTCGGGTGGATAGGTATCTTTGAAGACATTTTGAGGCAGTTCAGGCAGTGTCCTTGAGGGCCAGCAAAGGCAGCGGCCAATGATTCGGGGCTTTCGCACCTCCTTTTTGATGATGTAGTTGCGAACCATGAAAATGTGGTAAGCTCAACGATAAACCTACCATTTGGGAATGGTTTATGCGACCCATAAAAAGAGTGATTTTGGGGATGGTTTACTATGGGCTTACCACATTATTCTATGACTGCAAGATGCTGCAGGACTCAAATATGGGAGTGCTAAGGCTGTGGCACCGGTGGCGGATAAGCGCGGTTTTTCGAGCTGTGGCGGGGCGGCCTGGGGATCCGTCAAAACTAGTCTTATTTCCATGAGACTTGGGGGAAGAACCATCCAACTAGTAGGGTTTTGAACCCAAACCCACATGGCAATCATAGCAGTGGGAAGCTCACAGCATGGATCTGGAGCAGCCCAGCGCTGGGCATCCTTTTGGGGTGTCCTTGAGGTGAAAGTGAGAGGGGCAGCCGACCCGTCATCCCAGGCCGAAATTTGACATAGGCACCGTTTGGTTTGAGACTGTGAGTGGCAAAAGAAATGATTCAGATTCATTCAATCGAAAAATGGTGTAGATTGTCCGGGTCCAAAAAAGTGCCCCGCTGGTTGAAGCATACGTGGAATCCAACAAAGGCACGCAGCCAGGATATTCATGAAACCAGCGGATCCTTTAACGCACCCTTGGCTGTATACGAATGCTTTCCAACATTGGGATTCCCGATTTAAGATGATTTCAGCCGCTAAGCAGACAATGACAAGGACATATTTAAAGGACCCGATCTTTCAAAGTGTATCTCAAATTTGGACAGAATAGGCTTGGGGCGGGAGCACCATGCCCGCTTAGCTCGTGCATGCATCCCACCTGCTGGTGGAGAGAGAAATTCATGGCCGGGCAGAGCCACAGATGAGAACAGCCAGTGTAGAGAGTAGTTCTTTATTGGAACATGGATGGAACTGCCCAAAATTTGGGACGAACTGCATCTAACTGCAAACTGCATGTGGCAGCAACAGATCTGGAATCTAGACGACAGCCAGGAGCAAATCCTTGCGGCTTGCGCCCCACACGCAAGCGTCGTGACAGCGGCGGCCCAGCCAGTGATTTAGACCATGCCCGTGGCAGTGACACGATTCGGTGCAGCGCGGTGTCTTCAAAAAATGGCAACAAGAGCGTTCCTCATCTCGTTCAGCTGCAAATGGCTTGGGTTGAAGGTCTTGAAGTATTCGAGGGGGCAAATGGCATGGTCCCGTATGGTCCGTATTTGGGTATGGCTGATAACCAGTGACCCGCAGCGATGGTTGACTGCTGAATTGAGTCCAGAGGTATGCCAGCATGGATATGAAAGGCATTGCTCCATATTTCTGCATTTTTGTCAGAGGGCCCAAAGGAACCCAAAGGACTATCAACATACAGCGCCGGCCATCACCCACACAAAACATCTGCAAACTGCAACCAGGATTATCAGGGTTCGTTTAAGACTTTGAGAGCTGATAGTGACCCGGAAGACGATTCAAGAGAAATGATATGAAGATATGGAGGGCTGGTACTTTTCAACATTTTTCAAGCATTTGGTTGATGGTTTCAACCATATTTGGGATGATGCAGCATCCAGATTCACCAGATCTGGATTGATACGCCACAATAAGCCCAGCTTTTCGGAATTGCAAAGGTATGCCAACACGTGTATCTCCTATGTTATGTGTTTGGACACTTGGAAGGCATGTTCTCATCGCGCATTGACTCATTGAACTCATTCGTATCGATTCGTATCGGCCAGGTGGGCGCATGTGCACTACACAGGGCCTGAAGCCTACGAGGTCCGGAGTGATCGTGCGGAAAAGGCGCACATTTTTCAGCAATCTCCTCAACTCAACCAACAGTTTCATCGTAAGAATAGTCCGTTTTTAGAGGAAAGTATCATCAGTATCCTTCCAATCTCCTGTTTGGCAGGGTCTATGTTGATTGGAGGATGGTACAAATCCACATCACCCCATCAGGGATGTAACTGATATAACCTGAGCAACTATGGGACTATAGTGACTGTAGAATGCCACAGGTACATTATATAGCATTATATAGCCACTTTTTGACTGGATTTCCACCCCAGAGTCAGTTCTTTGAAATTCTTCAGTCCCTCTTCACATCAACGCGAGAGGTGACTGCGATGGCAGCTGTCCGGTCCAGAGCTCCATAGCTGTGCCCACCTGTGCTTAAAATGCAGCATCAATGGGCATGGCTGAACTTGGGTTTCCTGAAATGTTAAAACTCAACTGAGTGTTGTCTCTCATCATTGTCGATCATATCCCCATGTTTGCGTGTGCTTGCTGCTTGAGGATGTGCCCCTCCATTTGTCGCTTCCACAATTTCATAGTACTAACCGAGCTTGTTGATGTTGTTGGTTGATTTCATCCCCATTTTCAAATTCCATTCGCATTTAACATAGAACCCAAACATGGCCATATCCACTGACTATCAAAACACGTTCCAGACCCCTTTTCGAGTCTTATGTTGAATGCAGGGTGTGTTTAATTCCCACCGTTCTTTCGGTGTCAAACTCATACCAAACCTGCCGCAGACTGTGCTTAGGTCACAGGAGCCATCGTCATCCTGGAAGAATTGCCGCAGGTCCAAAGGCAAAGTGGTTTGGTGACTCCTGCCTATGCCTTCCATAACACCAGCTTTGTGCGCACTGGCCCTGGTTGAGAGAGCGGGAGCGAGAACGGCTCAACCAAGGGGGTAATAGGACAACTTCTTGGGAACAACCGTTTGTTCGGAGCGCCAGGGGCAAATCTGATGATACCTTTCTTGCAACACTCTTCTATGAACGACATTGAACGACTAGGTTGGAAACTTGCATCCCAAACAGGCATGAGTTTTAACTTGTGGTTCTCAGAGTGTCGGGGCTCAAAAGCACCGGCCCGTGCACTGTCCAACTCAACATCCGAAAGAAACAGCTATTTAGCAGCTATTTGTTCCATTCTGTTCCATCCTTTTCTCAACGCTTCCAACTCTCAGAACCCCAGAACTTCTCAATCGTACAACAATTCTATATTTCATGCAAAGCCTGCATCCGAATCCACCTTGCTGGATCCCTGAAAGGCCATTGGACAGGCCATTGGACCCTTGGAGTTTCACCGTTGCCATGGCCAGCACCCAGCCCCAGATGTACGGCCAGCCCAGCAGCGACCCCGCGGCCGAGTTGCAGAGGCAGATGGCAACAGCCGCAGCACAGCAGGCGGCGCAGCAAGGGGCGCAGGTGGCGTCGCAGAAGGCGAAGCATGGCTTCTATGAGATCAAGGCAAGGGGGAAGGTGGAAACGGCGGGAAATTTTCGAGGACTTTCTAGAAGTCTAGGAATCAAGAAAGGAAGTTGCCAAGAATTCAAAGCTTGATGGGAAAAAAGAGGAATTTAGCCCGAGAAACTGGGGATTTGGGCGGGCCAAAGAACATGGGGATTCACATATAGAGTTTCAGTATAAATATGCATAAATATGTGACGAAAGCAGATTTAGCGGGCACAAATGGATTGGACATCGGTGGGTGATGTGGGATGGCTGCTTTCGGGTGATCTGGATAACCATGCCCAATAAGGTTTCAGATGTACCCCTGTGGCCCTATGGCAACGAGGCCTACATCCAGGAGAACCCAGGAAGTGTGAAGGTGATGTGCTTTCTGGTGGGCCTAACCCTGCTGGTCTTCAGCATCCTGGGCGTCATCAATCCTTTTGCGGTCTTCGGCACACCCAAGGAATACTTGGCTAATGTCTACAATATCATTTTCTCAGCCCCTTGGGCTGCAGAACATGAGAATCATATGCAATGATGATGCAGGTGGTGGTGATGAGGGTGATGATGATGGCGATGATGACGACGATCATTTCTTGAAGGAGTTCTGATTGCACAAATGTTCAGTGTAGCATGACAAGCATTCCTCTAAAGAATGTAGCAAACCAGCACCTTGCAGACGCCAACCACGTCAACCACACATATCTTGTGCTTCCGATGCTTCTTAGCCGAGGTGATCATTTGCATCTGCGAGGGCAAGGAGGATTGGATGAGGCCCCTAGTTCGATACGACTGTAAATATTGCAAATGTCATTCATATCACCATTTCGGATCATTTTGCAGTTTAACCATGTTCAATCCATCTTTCTGCGGTACCCTCCCTGCGCCACAGGTCTTGCGGTGATCTTCAAGGTAAACTCTTCCAGCGTTGCTTCTTCTTGGCCACACAGACGGGACGTGCCCTCTTCTATTTCTATGTGGGTTCCATGACTATCCTTTTGCTACCCTCAGGTGGGGCTTGGGGCCACAAAAACTCACCCTGGTGGTTGGAAATCTGTTCCTTTGGGGTCCCTAGGTGGAAGAACCAAGCTGACCAAACCATTCAGACATCTTCAGACTCTCAGATGTAGAGTCGACTTGGTTGAGAGAGGTGGTTCTACTACCTGGGGTATCGACAACAAGAAGCATTGATAAGCCGTTCTCACGACATGCGCGTCAGTCCGTATTCAAACAATCCAAACCGACTATAAAGCAAAGCTGCACCGGTTTTGACACCTATTAGCATGCAGATAGCCTGTTAGCTTCAGCAATTTCCCCAGAGCTGCCGACGGCCATATCCTCCTGAATGGTTCAATGAGTGATGCCTTCATGATTAGACACCTCACTATCCCACTTGCCAAAGACCCGGCATCCTCCCTTTTTTGGAGTTCGGCAAGCCGGCAGGTTTCATTTGGACCTTGATCTACATCATTCTCGGCTCCTGCTTATGCGCCTTGTCATAAAGAGGTAGCCCACGGGAACACCATGGCCTGTTGGGTCAGCAGCTGCGATGAAAAAGTGACTCGTTGTGTGCCCAACATTCCGCATTGCATCGATTTCTATAGATTGCTGAAACATATCATACTATATGTCACCCCCATGACATCCCATGACGATTGCGTGGAATTATAATGAATTACATAATATCACACACACACATGTATAGTATGTACAACTGTATCATATTTCAATCCAACCATTTAGATTGGGTTGGATGGATCCTAAGTAATACTCGTATCCAAACTCTGCAGTTTCTTCAACAGTAACATATGACCAGTTTTTGACTCAGGTCAGGTCACATCCATGCCAAGCCACCAATCCCTTCTGCTCTTTGAATCCCTTTGGTACTTGTTTCTGGTGGTTATATAAGTTATATATAGTTATATAGGCGTGTGTGCTTCATATGTATGTATATTTTTGCATACGCACTAATACGCACATATACGCACGATAGGTAGGTGGATGGATAGACAGACTGATGTGTAGACATAGATTTTTCTAGCTAGATATGCACATATGATCACTTCACTTTTCTTGAACATCTACATATACAGATACCAGACACACACACATATATATATGTATATAATATACACTATATTCACACACACACATTTTTTTCTCCCTCTCCCTCTCTCTCTCTATATATATGCACACGCCATACACATAAATAAATAAAATATATAAATGAATGCATACATAAACACAGACACACACACATATATATATATATGATTATATATGTATATATCCATATCTATATACATACATATATATATATATATATCCATATAGATACATACAGACCACAAATAATATAAATCTCTGGCAGATATACTTCAAGCGAGGTCTCCTGTCTCTGCTCATGCTCTTCTTCGCCCATTGCGGCCGGTGCCGATCGAACTATGGCCAGATGGGCGGATCTAGTGGACAGCTCTGAGTGCGCGACCTGCGGGATGTGTGGCAGATCCCTGGAGTCTCAGGTGGGAAAAAACCTGGGAAAAAACCTGGGAAAAATCAGGTGATCATTGGAAAACATGGGAGAAAACATGTGGAATACATCGGAAATATTGGTGATCAGTAGTGATTGATGGATTCCAACCTTCAAAAACATGGGAAAAGATGGTGATAAGTGGAGTCCAACCTTGACAAATGTGAAAAATGGGCGCCAAGTTGCCAAGTTGGAAAACAACTGGTGATAATCTATGAGAATTTACTGTAGATGATGTTTGAAATAGTTTGAGGACATAGAGTTTGGCATCATCTTTTGAAAAGGTCTTGATGCCCGCAAGAATTCTGGGAACACATCCCGCTGAATCCGCGATGCAACGCAAATTTCACTTCACACAGTGGCGGGCGTCGTGACGCCAGGGCCCTTGATACAGGAGGACCGACCTTCGGCCCCCGGTGGTGACGTGCTGAGGAACTGGCGACGGAGAGAAAGGATTTGATTGCGGATGGCAGGGGGAATCGTGAAACTAATTCACCCAGATGGTTTTGTACTACTGAGTATGTGAGGACCCTCAAATGCTGCGAAGAAGAACGGGGTTTCGCCCCAAAATCAGGTGGTTTTCTCAACAACAGCTGGCTATAGCTGGCTGATAGTTTAGATTAGATATATTTACTGCTTTTCATGCCCTAACATCGGATCATTGCTGAGCTACAGCAAGGGCATTGGTTTAGCCTCAGCTGGGAGGTACAACGCCTGCAGCAGACAGCCTTTGCAGCTGGAAAGGGTCAAAAAATGAACTTCAGGCGTGGCGTGGTCTTCCAGCCTTGCTGGAGGGCAGAGACAGCCAAGGCACCAGGCGTCTATTACGAGTTTGCCACCCACATTGGATGATTCAAAGGTTTCATTGGTTGAGATTTGAACCAAATCCCCTGAATTTACGACTCACCATGTCTGCGAGCCATACTATGCTCGCATTTTCGATTGCTTCCACCTCTGCCCCCCCAAAAAACCATTGTGTCCCACTTGTGTTTCGACTTCCTGCAATCCAATCGCGGTGGGCCACATCATCCCTCACCTTCGCCAACCCGAGCCTGACGGCCGCCAGCCGTCCCCTCCAATGGAGGCTATCGGATGGAAAGCCCTCGGAAGAGACCCTGCGAGATGCCATCATGCGCAAGACCAAGGGTGCTGCACAGGGACAGGAGTGACTCAGTTGGGTTCAAGGTGCAGATGGAGAGTTTTTGCCTATCCTTTTTAAATTGGCCGAGTGGAAACAACGGGACCATGGTGACAGGCGGGTGATGAAGGGATGCTCTCAGATTTGGCCAAGCGGCACTCATCGGACCTGCTGCGCCCGAAGGAGAAGATCTTCAGTGGCAAAGTTTCCGCTTGGGTGACTCCGGCCCGGGCTCCTGGGACATGTGACTACGTGTTTAACATAGCTATGGAAAATCACCATTTTTGATGGGAAAATCCACTATAAATGGCCATTTTCAATAGCTATGTTAGTTTACCAGAGGGTACTGTAGCTGGTTCAACCATGCAACAGCCAGCAACAGCCACATGGGTTGGTCTGAGTTCTCGGAGCTCCGGGAGCCTGGGCTCGAGCTGCGGGTGGAGAGTCAAATTCAAACGAAAGGATTTGCTGTTTCCTCTACCTGAAAAGGTGTTTAACAAGATAGATTTGGATAGACTATCCCATTGTTTTCACAGCATTTTTTCTAAGTTTGCTGTTGGTTTCACATGATTTAACATGCCTGAACTCCGATTACCCGGTCACATATTTTGTGTTTGTTTTTCTACTCATCCTCATTTTACCACCCTGGATTTTTCCACTTCAAGATCCACCAAAAAAAAAGGCAAGCTGTCCATGACCCACGCGGATCAAAGCTAGCCATGGCCTGGCCTGGCCAGCGCTTCCTAGTGCCCTTTGATGGAGAGGACCGGATGTGGAGATGGGGACGGACTGCACCTATTGTCATCTATGGCCTTGGGGGTCTCCTCTGACTTCTGCTCAGGCCTATGAAACTGCCACAAAAATTGGAAGACCATTCGTATTTTGCAGAGGATTTTCTTGGTTCACTTTGTTCACTTTCTAATGATGCAGAAATATGGGGCAAGACCCTGATATGTGCATATACCTCCAAACAATCCAAGAATTAGAAACCCAGGCAGTGCACTATGACCATCCTCTGTTGTCCTACCTTGCTGAGCCCAGCCCCCTGGAGGAAAGCTATGACTGGTTGGCAGAGCAGCCAAGGCGCATGGATGGCAACTGATGGGTCTCCCCCTTCAGGTGCGTCAAAATAATCTGTCCCAATCACTCTAGTGGTACTGCTTGTTGGTTTCAAATTTCAGATAATTTGTTTGCCACCCTCCAAATGATTCAAACAGATCAATTTGATTTTCAAGGCATCTTTCCGGCATGGCAATATATACCGTGCCACAGAGATTAACCACTTTTAAAGGTCGGAGCGTAGAAAATCCCCTGCTTGAATCCAAAAGAAGCTTCACACCGAACATCACCGACGCCTGCAAGAATATTCCCTTTTATACATATCTGATCATATGGTGCATCATGTTTCTGCTGTTTTTAATCCATTTCATATCCCCATGTCTATTCGCTATACCCCCATTGGGGGCGAATTGTAGCTGTGGCTTCACCCAGTCGGCAGGATCCATCACCCAGACGTTCAGCAGCTCTCACCGGAAGACCGTGCGCGCGAGCACCAGCGCCCGGGGCAGCATCTGCTCAGGACAGTGCACTGGGATGCCTTGGGTCGGGGGAGGGGGCAATAACTGGGTGTCGCAGTTCCCTCTCTCTGGATGTTCTCAGCACCAGATATCTTAGTTAGTTGATTCTATCCGATCTATCCCCATGAGGTCAGGAGCCTCAACTTGATGAAGATCACCGAAACCTTGCTACTACAGCCCTCCAATTCCTGCACAAAAAAAGGCGATGTCCCAGCATTGCCCGATTTCCTTCGGCCAGGAAGAAGAGTTTCAGCTCCAAGTGCTCCAAAGACGAGCTCGAGATCTGCGTTCACCTGGAAACGCCCACAGAGGTGGCAACAGAGCTGGCGACCTCGTTGTAGCGGCCTGGTGGAAAGATGTTGAAACCCACAGCTGTCAACAAGTATAGATCTGTGTGTATATAGCCAGTTCCCAGTTCTAGATTCTAGATGAGGTGATGCCCGGTCATTGGGATTTTGACTGGTGACATGGATTGTTGGCATGAAATTTTAATCACCGTTTGATAATTTAGTTGACAAAAACTGAACAACATGCAAAATGGGCGAAGCGAGGACACATTTCATTCAGGGAACATGGTGTTCCCCCGGTCATGGCAGGCTTCCCGGCTACAGCAGCAACTGTCACAGATGCAGTCTGGAATGGGCGGCATGCAGGAGCTGCCAGGTGGATAATAAAGCATAATAAACCACCATAGACCACCAAGAGATGAGAAGATCACCAGATTAAATTTGCAATGTTTTGTATACTTGTCACCATTCTCGCCTCTGTTGCCGGCAGACTCGGACTCCAGAGAAAGAAGAGGAGTATTACATAGCGTTGTTTTGGTGGGTTCAAAGAGCTAGTTTTTGATTTCTTTCCGCATGTGTTTTGAGGGGGGGTTGAACCCCCACCTATGTGGGGAATATCTTGAGGGATGCAACTGGATTCGAGAAGCCAACATTTTTGACAACCCCCGAAACAGATACGACTGGTCAGTTGGTTTGGTCGCTCAAAAGGTCTGTCATTTTCTAGATGTTTTTATACCCAATATATGTCGGAGCTATAGGATTAGGCCCCTTGCAGCAAATGCATCCAGGAATTGTTGTTGGAGCAGTTCATCGTCCCGAGCTCAGCTGGGATGTGCTGCAGCGAGCTTTTCGGGGGCCTTGTGTTGGCGCATTTCCAGGCAAAAATGATGAACTCCGCTGTGTCAGTGGAATTCGTTGAATGATGTCCACCCCAAAACACATGAGAAAGATCATGGAAAAAAAATATGGGAAAAAAAGATTATGGAAAAAACTTATATAGATATTTTCTTCCCCCTTTTTTTCAGAAGCCAAGTCTTGTTCTCTTTGGGGCACCCGGGATGACAATTCAAGGAGAAGGACTACGGTGACGATTTGCTGCTCCTGACGGCCACCGAGCCAGGTGAGGCTGCCATGGGTGATCCGACTCCATAGGGTGGGGCCTGGAAAAGCATCAGTTTTTATGGGTTTAGACTGTTACCCTCTGGTAAACTAACGTAACTATGGAAAGATCCACCATTTTTAATGGGAAAACTCACTATAAATGGCAATTTTCAATAGATATGTTAAATTACCAGAGGGTAAGGCCAGACCCCGAATTTTGGGGTGCCATGTTTGTGATGTTTTTGGAGAAGCCAGGCCTATCAGGCCTCAGTTCCTGAAGTCCTGCCCCGAGGTCTCAAGGTGCGAGTCTAGTTGTAGATCCAAAGCTATGCCTGATGCCATGGATCTGGAGTCCTGTGCTGTTCCCTATGAGATGCGCTTGGCGCGAGATGGACATGCTTACAAGGAGCCCTGGTGACCAAGAAGCCAAACTGAAACCAGCTATGGATTTCTTAGTGTTTGCCCAGAAATGATGCAAAGCCATGCAAAGCCGTGCAAAGCCATGCAAAGTCATCCAAAGTCATCATGAGATGGTACCCCCCATAGTTTATGGATGTTTAGGCTATCAATCCACCGGTTCTTTGTGGCCTCAGAGATCACGCCTCCTTTGCAGAACTCTCTTTGACCATAGATATAGCAGGCAAAGTATGGAGAAGAGGCTTTGGTCCCAGAATTGGACGCAGGGACAATTTACAGGAAGACACCTTCCCCCACCGCGCCGTACAAAGTCTGGAGTGCTTTTCTTGTTCACGAATTTCGCTATGGCATGCTATGGCAATAGGATCGCAAGCTTTGTTTTTGATCTTTGAACGCAGTTCCCATATGCTAACGCATGGCATATTTCATCATATTTTACCCATACTACAAATTACTATGCCATGTTTTTGGGATAAGCACGCCCCTGAATATTTTACCCATCTATACCTGAAGCATATGGGATTGGTATTGAGCCAACGACTGAACGCGGCAGGAACATGAGTTCCAAGAGTTTTATCACCACTCCTGGCTTCGTTACTGGAATGAAGCTGCAGTGCTCCCCTTTTTCCGCGAAGTCCCGAGGGGCTTAAGGCTGGACAAGGTGCGCCACACTCTGGCGATCCCACATGTTTGCTTCAAACATCTTAAACATTCTTAAATCCACTAAGGGAAAAACAACTAGAGATGCCATACTCTTAACTTATATAAATATATAATATATATCTGTATATACATGTATAGTATCTCTTGCTGCTCTTTTTTCTCTTCCTCCTTGATCAGTTGTAGGTGTCACAGAGCCTGAAACGGTTGCGATGCCGCAGCTGAGGTGGAGAAATCCTTGGTGTGGAGGGCTCTGGACGAGCTGATGCCGCACTTTCCCTCGAAAGAAGAGAGGCCTCTGGGGCTCCAGTGTCCAGTGGCATGTCAAGTGTCATGTGGCGTCAACATGTCAATTAGCAAGTCTCAAATGTCCATTGTGAGTTGTGCCCAGTTTCCGGTTGAAGGGATGGCAATCCCAAGGCCTGGCCCTGATGCACTGACCAACTGGCATGTCCTCGATTCACTGGGTTATGACGTAAATTGACGACCATGGTTGTTAGCCACCCCACACAGGTCAATCAGGAATGGGTTTGTCTGAAAATCGTGCACCCCATTTTCTCGCACGATTTGTCATCATTTTCCCCAGTCAAATATTCCAAATGGCCATGAATTGCACTATATATTATTACTATTGGGTTTGCCATATTAAAAACTTCTCCGAGGTCCTCTCGTCCCAGTCGCTCAGCGGTGGAGATTTCTTGGACCTATGAGGGCTCGTCCTACGACTGGTCCAGAAGCGACAGACCGCGGGCTGTCGCAGCCTGGAATTTTACGGTTTGCGAACTGGAGAATCACCCCCCAAAAGAAGGCAAACCATCTAGAAATCACCTATAAAATGGATTAAAATGGGCCATTGGTATGGGAAATAGCCAGAAGGTAAGAAGATCTCAGAAGGTACGTCGATTTTTGGCAAAACCACCAGGGTTTGAAGTTGGTAAGTTTCTGGGTGCAGACGGACGTGGTTGTTTTGCTCAAGAACAGGACATGCAAGTTGAGACACCTCAACGCACTGAGGCTGGAAAACCTCTAGCCCAGTTTCCCCATGTGCGACGCCTTGTCTCAGAGGTCCCTCGGAGTTTTCGGAGTTTCGGCGAAGGGCGTGAAGATGAATACCTACAGAGGGCCTGACATGTGGATGGTACCAATTGCCTAGACTTGTGGTCAGGAGCCGTCTGCTTGGAATGAAAGATGCTGAGGGCAACGGGGGGTTGGTTCAAAAGCGCCCCAACAACGGTGCCTCGACATAGATCCGTAGTGGACATAGATGATGGTCTCAAGCCACCGGCCACTCCGAAGGGTTGAGCCAGTTGAGCCGGGCCATTTCAAGCAACTTTCAGGTGATGCATCGCTTGGATCATCGCCTAGCCCTCGATGAGAAGCAGCTCAATATCAGCTGTCTACTGTACTCCCCAGGGCAGTGCATCCCATGGCATGCTGATAGGCGCGGAGGTGGAGGTGGTGGACTCGGCGGACCTTTTTTAACGTGTCGCACTTCCCCAAATCGCCATTCGTTTCCCCATGACATACCTGGTTGGTAAACAGTCCCATAACTATGGAAAATCCCAATTTTCAATGGGAAAATCAGCTATAAAATGGCCATGGCTTCAATAGTCATGTTAAATTACCAGAGGGTACCCAATGTTGGATGATCCTGCGCCCAAATGGTGAAACAGCTCAGTTTGGCTTGGACTTCCCTTCCACCGGCAGGAAGCACATCTATAGGGACCCAGTCTTCGGCTGTGTCTTGTTCAACACTTCGGACAGCTCCTTGGAATTTCATGCCTTGGATCGAGCGGGCGAGGGGCGACCCGTAGCGCGATATGTGGTGCCTGAGGAGGCAGGGCTCGGGGCAGGTTATGGGGAAGGTTTGGATGGTGACCTGGGATGCATATAATATGAACATGGGAGAAGGGAATGGAACCTTTGCAAAGGGGGCTGCTATTCTTGATAGATCAGAAAGATGAGAACGAACCTGTGTTAGAAAGGTGACTTTGGATGATTTTGGTTGAACGTTGTGTTGAATACCAACAAACGACCCGCGCCAAAAGCCCCAAGCGCCAGGTGGGCTGTTGTTTTCTGCAGCAAGGGGAGGCACGCTATGATTGGCTGCATGGAGTGCCCAAGCTCTCGCAGGGTGAGCGTCTTTCAGTAACGTGGCGCTGGTTCCTGGATGATGTAGAGCTGAGATGAGCTGAGAGCGTCCTGAGCGGGGCTACAAAGATGTACACAAGCTGAATATTAAAGGATGGACTCTTGCGATGCTATGCCGGCAGGGGAATGGTCAATATATGTCAATTTCCGGCAGACTAGACGTAGAACTAATGTGAACTATAATATATAATGTCAAGTTGTCCATACTTGTAAGTGTTGGTGAGGATAGCAATTGCACCACCATTAACATGTTTATACCGTACCTGTTTGGGAAGTCCCAGGCCTAGAGTAGAAGGCACAGTCCTTCTGAGCCACTTTGTGCAGTGACGAGCAGACGAGGGTGGGGCACCGGGCATGTCTAGTTGAACAAGTGACAGGTATTTCAGCCAGTGGGATCTTGCTGGGTTCAGGTTGAATTAGTATAGATATTAGTAAGGTTTCAATGTCACCAGTTTCCCAGAAAAGCTGGAAGGAGGTTGCATGGGTTTCGGACCAAATTGCCCCAGCCTCTATTTTGGCTCCCAGAAGCACTGGAAAAGAACTGCCAAGTCCTCTTTCTGGCTGAAAAAGCTTGGGGGCACTTAGCATAACAAGGCGGCAGGACAGCTCCAGCCAGAGGATAGAAACGATGAGCGTACGCATCAGGCATGCAGAGTTGAGCGAAGATAGAGCCCCAACGATTCCAAGGATGACATGGGTTTCTGTGATCAAGAAGTATCACACAGCACATGATTGGGAACATGAATATTTGAATGGGGTTTGACCATATTTGATGCACAGAGCATTGAAGATTCCGGGCTAGGCACGAGGAGCCGCCAAAGCGGCACCCAGTTTAGCACAGTCTACCTTTACCTATCACACCTCAGCATAGCTCAGCAGACTCTTCGTTTAGTTGAAGCCATCCGTAAGGATCTATCCTCATTGCTGGGATAGTCCCTTACATAGGCCTTATATAGGCCTTGTGTATTCTTATATATGGTAGGTACCTCCAATTTAGGTTCCTGAAATGGCCATTGATATGGGTTTGTTCACAAATGGGGGAACCTCAATTACACCGGTTTAAAACCTCAGCTTCTCAATGAAAATTGCAACACGTTGGGGTAAATCCCTCAGTGTCAGACACACTCACATCACGTTATTGGTTAAACTATACTTTGCTATACAATGTTATGCACGTTCTATCCCATGTAAATTCCATGGGTATCCCTATCCCTTACATCCTAATTGGCCATTTTTCAGGCTGATGTTTGAGAAAAACTCAACTTTACCGGGCAGATCTACCACCTTTTTACCGCAGGTGGTGCTGTGGTGGGCTTGATCTTCTGGCGCTACCTGCATTCGTCGCACGACGAGTTCTGGCATCACGTCATGGTGGACCCCTCCGCAGACGAGCAGCTGGCGCTCAGCATCCTGGTGAAGTTAGTAAGGGGATTTATGCCCAAATGGCTTAAATTTGAGGTTAGTGAAGTATCATGATTCACCCAGAATCTATTCAATTGTTTAATTGTTTTTTGGTTTTCTGCGGAGCTTCTGAGTTCAGTGATGTGATGTAGACTGATGGTGGCTGATGTATTGAGCTCGTCAGTTTTTTTTCCTGCATGTTTTTTTCCGCCGGTTCTTTCTCTGTGAACCTGGACATTGTTTTTCGAACAACTCTCCGTCTCTCTCTCTCTCTCTCTCTTGGAAGGATGTGGGGAATGTACTTAGACTTAGTATGATATCTTATAGTATCATATCACATCCATCCTTTTTAGCTTCAAATTTCACCAGCCTTTTTTTCCATCGACCCTAGCCCCAGAAACTCCATCAGATCCCTGGCTTTCCCTAGCCAGGTCCCCGGCCACCACCTGACGCCTGGGTCTTGATCGAGTTGCTGTGCGCGGATGACCAGTTCCGTGGCCGCGGAGTGGGGAAGCTGCTCCTGGCGCCTGGGCTGACGCCTCGGGGTTGGACTGGCAGAAACGTCGGGATGGTGAAGTGCCTCATGATGGGTACCCTGTGGTAAGCTAACATAACTATGGAAAATCACCATTTTTTATGGGTAAATCCACTATAAATTGCCATTTTCAATAGTAGCTATGTTTGTTTACCAGAGGGTAAAGGATAGGCCAATGGGCCAAGAAAATCAATCACTGACACGGAGCCGGCCAATTGTTTGGGGAAATCATTTTGAACCCCGCCCAAATGGGCTATGGGTCAAATCTTTTCAGGTTCAAAGGGTCGTGAAACGATCTCAAACTAACCAGCCCCGTTGCGATGCCCTTTTGCTTTGCACTTTTTTTTGATGGAAAAATATGTCCATGATATCCCATCAAATCCCCATGGTGTCTCCATGGTCGGTTTCTAGGGTGGCCTAGCATAAGCCTACCACTTTCGCGCAAGCTGCGTGGACACAGCAAGGTGGCTGCGCTGGCATACTCCGCCGTCAAGGACTGTGGTTCCTGGGTGGTACAGTGGCATGTTTTGGCCAACTGCAGGGTGGAAGTGGAGTTTCATGGGCAACTGAAGTGATGACTGGGTATGTATATAATATATTAGAATATTACATTATATCATCCCATCAAAAAATTGGGGGTTAACATGGGTTAACAATCAAACAACGGGTTTTTTTCCATCAAAATTGGTGCTAGTCTGCTAGTCAATCTTCAAGAATCAGGGCCTAACATGTTTGCACAATCCTGAGATTTGGATATAGTAGTCAAATGATATGGAATCCTCATGAATCCTCCCCATATGGCACTCCCGTATGCCGAGTAAGGCCAGTACCAAACCTGTGGGCTTTATAATATACATATATATATAATAGATATAATAATATATATATATATATAATATTATATATATATTATTCAATTCTGTCAATTCGGAGGAAAGGGATTGGCTAGGTGGTTGGGATTTTTGCTGGGTTGCAAGATGGCCCCATTTACAATGTGCTACTTGGCCAATTTGGTCTGAGATTCCCTTGGCGGTGGAAGCTTCTCCGCTGGTTGGTGGCTCAAGCGCGAGGGGAGCGCGCCATGGTCCTGAAAAACTGGATGCTTCATCATGTGTGAACTACCCCAATGATATCCACTGACAATCAATGATATATAGTCATATAGTATATAATGTATATATATATATGATTTTTTCTTATGGTTTATAATTAGTCAATGTCTGATACCTTCCAACTTCCCAACACTCTCCGAATTTCGCAGAGCTGACGATCGGCGCCTCGCGCTGATCTCGGATGCGATGGCGTTCTCAAGCAACGCTGCACCGCTAGGTGTGGAAACATGTTGGATGGGTAAAGCCAGGGGTTTCACATGGGATTTCCACCCGAAAACGTGAAATTGGGCAAACAGAGATCAAAGAGTCTGAGACAGACCCGTGCATTGTGACATCTGATCATATTTATCATGTCATATGGCAGTTCCAGCACTGCTGTCCCACTAATGCAGTTTCATATGGTATCATAAAAAAAAACACATCCTGGACATGGCCGAACTGCGGCAAGATTGGTCGTTTCCAGATGTACCCGAGCAAGCAGCCACTGTGGCCACTGTGAGCCCGACACTTGAACAGATTTCAGCCGGCTTTGTGATTTTGGGGGCCCTGGGTTGAAAAGATTTGGTCATTGCAGATGGCAGTTCCGCAATTTCTAACGATTTGGTCAATTCGACTCAGGCATGCTGATGCGCTCACAAGCACGGAATAATACTCGCTTTCTCTCAGTCCTCTTTGCTTCCCTAACTCCATAACTCCTCCCTCCTTACCTCCCCCGCTCTTCCTCCCGAAGTCCTTTTGAACGGGCTCATGCATCTCCACATGAATAGACATCCAATATCATCCAATGTTCTCCCGTGATTTAGTCATTTCGCGTGACATGTGGCGCAAGGATTCCGGACTACTTGAACCGGATCCACAACGAAAGTCTCACAGCAATCCTGGCCATTGAAGAGCACGGTGCTGAGATGAGCCCAGCAGCATGGCAGCAAGTGAGGAATGCACGGAGCATTCTGAGACTCGTTCAGGACATCCTGCTCTGTGCCTTGGGCTTGCTGAGGAAGAGTTTCTGTTTCATTTTCTTGAAAGTCAAGATGTTGGGAGGATGTTCCCAATTATAACCCTTTTCTGGTGATTTCACTGCGTACTACACTTTGGGAAGATGCCTAAATTATCTTAATTGACTCACAAAGTCGCTCTTAGCATGGGTTGGAACCCCGACCAGTTGTGCCAATGTCACCACTGGCATTCCACTGCTTGGAAGAACACGTGAGGTCTCATGGAAGCAGGGGACCATCCTCAAGAAGAGCCATTGGCGTACTTCAAGACTGCCAAGGGTCAAGGGCCACAGGGGGGATGGTTGAAACATGTAACCTGGGATGCCATCTGTCTTTGGGACGAACATCCATTCGTCAGGAATTGTGATGGAATTGTGATGTTCACCAGGGTGCCATATTTTTGACCCATAGCGATTTTTGACATATACGGCATGATATTACATATTGTACATCTTGAAGGAATATGCAAAGGTCCCCGTTAGGGAGCAACAGGCTAAACAAATAATTTTCCAACTGGAATTGGACCTTTCTTTTTAAGGTCCGATGTTTGGTTCAACTTTGAAGGATGGTATGCCATCGTGACATGCAGGCTGCATGTCAATCGGCTCTCCCATGGGAATTCGGCCTGACGGGATGTGCTCCTATTTCAGGTGGAACATAGCAAGTCAGAGCCAAAGCACTTAGCAAGTTCCAAAGCTGGGTCATTCAATCCCGGAATTGAAGGGAAAATAGAAGAGACATGAAGCTGACAATTCCTCCTATGTCTTCAAAAGTGATCCAGGTGCGAGTTTTTTTCTTTGGTATCTCCATTCCAGAGCCTGAACTCATTTCCGCATGGGAAGACACATACAGATTTGCTTTCCCCTCCAAATATTTCCAATCCAGCCGTTGATTCGACCTTTCAGCTGGTCAAATCATGTTGATTCGTATTCCCATTGAATCATACTATATAAAGAGGTCTTAAATCAATGGATTTGTTTAAGGGGCAATTCATGACCATTTGAGCCGGAAACCATCTTCCATTTAAATATCAGAAAAGGACATCAGGAGGGTCCCATTCTTTCACGTTTCTGAAAATGCAGTGTATTAGTAACATGCCACACATTATTCTTTTAAAATTGAAAGAAATTAAAAGAGTATATTTTATACAAACGTTGTCTTTGGGAATTATTTTGATACATAATTTTCTCTTTGACCATATGTGCTTTATTTTTGTTCAAAATAAAACTATATATTAGATTCTGGCTGATCACATCGCCTCCAAGAAAGGAAGAGATTCCAAATTAAAACAATGCAGATTTAATAATTTACAACAACATCAACTACAGCTACAGCTACAACTACACTATTCTACAATACAACTACAGCTACAACTGCACCTAGAATTACATTGCACTACACTACAGCACACTACATCCAGCAGTTGTGGTTGAGGTGACCACTGCAACCACTCCAAAAAACTCAACTCCAACCACACCTCGGTCCATCAGTGGGTTCGCTCTACCATCCATGCATCACAACAACTCACCCCTACTATAGTTACTATAGTGTCCTATGTTTGAAACTTCCACCACCGCCTTGTGCGGTCCTACTGGTATAAACAACCTAGAAGAAATCAAGTACAAATAACTATGAGTACAAAAATAAGCATAACTTATCAAAAAAAACATCGCAAGACACTGTAAAACATGAAAAATGGGACCCCATTGGTTCCCCTCTCTCTTAAATATAGTAGGGGTTTCCTGCACATATTCCTTCCAATCCATTGACGAAAATCCGCTTGAATCCCCGGCGCTAGGAACATCCGACAGTGGTCGCGGGAGGCCCTGAGTGCCCACCGTGCGGGCGATCACACGGAAGTCACGCGGCTCGCCTGGAGCATCCTGGCGCGCACGCGGGCAGTGGAGCAGTGGCACGAGGATCGCAACACGGTGCAGACCCAACTGGTGGCGCTGGGGGCTGAGGACGGGATGGGTGGCGGGGGGGAGAAGGTTAGGGCTATTGGCCATGGCAATTACATGTTTCTGACCACCACAAGGGGGGTGAGTTGACAGCTGTTTTTCTTGAGATTGGAAGACCAACTTGAACAATGGAGCAAGTTTCATTCCTGTTTGTCATTGAAATCCCACAGAAAACAGTGCTCGGTTTTCACAGCGACCACTGGGAAATGACGCCCCAGGAGGGTTCAGAGCGGTCGACTCAGACGGCTATGACTCGCAGCGGAATGCCTCCAGAGCCAACTGAGAAGACAGATGAGGAAAACACTGATGGGTCTGCGTCAGTTGGTGGCTGGGTGGCAATTTGACTCTGTTGTCTGATGCCGTAACTTTTCTTCTGACTCGCAATGCGAGGATCATCGAGGATCAAGCCGAATCACCTCTTCCTTCCAAAGAGATCAATTATCTACAAATGGATAGCAAGTCCCGTTCCGTTTCCATGTTTGGCCAGCAGAGGGCGCATTAGTGTGCACTATGTGTTTGCAAAATGTTTGTAAATTCGTATCTGAATGTATCTGAAATATTTGAAAGTGCAGATACTGAATGCGGGATCCAGATGTTGAATTGTCATGAATTGTCATTTTTCTTTGCATGGGTTGGGAGCACCAACCAGGTGAGACGGAAGTCGACATGGAGCCTGAAGTTGCTCGAGATCAGGATGCTCAGGCGCCACCAGCGGCGCAGGATGCTTACGCACCACCGGTGCTGCAAGATGCTGAGACGCCACCAGTGCCGCAAGATGCTGAGGCAGTGGCGCAAGATACTCAGGTGCCACCCGTGCCGATTCACGAGGATAATCCCAGGAACCAATCACCCCTTCACGCAGCAGCGAAGAACGGGCATGTCGACCTCCTAAAAATTCTGCTGACTAACCTGACTGCCGACGGTGCTGCTCTGACCAGTGCAATCGACGCCAGAGACTTCCTCAACATGTCACCATTGCACGAGGCAGTGATTTATGGCAACAGCGAGGCGGTCGAGCTGCTTCTGAACAACGGAGCAAATGTGAATGCTGTTGATTTGTTCGGTCAGCAGCCATTGCACCATGCAGCGCGCCATGGCCTGTCCAACATCGTGCAGCTGCTGTTGCAGAGTGGCGCTGATGCCAGAGCCAGAGATGCCCAGAACATGACGGCCCGGGAGAAGGCGGAAGAGCATAAGTTCAGCCAGGTGACCGAGCTGATAGATTCATTTCAAGAGATGCCTTGAGCGTCTAGTGGCAATTGTTATTTGGGTACCTGCCAGTGTTAGAAAGAATTAGAGTCAGCACGGCGCTGCGCTTGGCGGTGCCGATTTAGAGTTGAATGCCGTAGCTTTCACGCGCTGGCATGATCCCAGCCAAGATTAGAGTGCGAAGACATCAGCAAAACATGAGCCGCTCCACTATAGACTGCTTTGCTGTACTTTGTCATGGTTTAGCTACTCGCTGATATTTGCTGATATTTACATCTATTTGCCGTATTCCTTTGCCAGTTGCCAGTTGCCCACATGCCTTGGCACGCATCTTGGCACCATTTCCCCAAGAGTGTTGCATGCCACGACCCACCAACTGTCGGTGAGGACGGCAAGACAGCCGCAGTGCTGACCCTGGGTCGTGGGGATGCGAACCTGGCTGCCGCTGAGCTGTATCGGCGCCTAGGCTTTCAACCGATGCCCGAAGAGCTCTTCGTTGACCCGGAGGACCTGTCGGTTTTGGGCAAGGGCAATTTGGTAATGTCAAGCACGGATTAGTAAATATAACCGGCCACATCCAACCACTCAGTTCACTATCAATCACTATCAGATTTGTTTTTTCACTTTCTATTTTGGGGGCCCAACTTGCAATACTGTAAGTGGTGGTGGATTAATCAATCCGGGGTTGGCATGACTTGTCATGACTTGTTTGCAGCATTTCGCGTTGTTTCATCTTGCTGAGGAAGCATGAGGCGTTATCATTCTTTCGGATAGGGTGCAGCTGAGCTAAGATAGCACAAGATACTGTAGCAGTCTATAGGGCCACGTGTGTTAAAGCCAACAATCAAACCACCGACCACCGCCCGTATACTGTACCCATTTCCGTTGATGAAGTCCCATGAAAATCCCATTTGGATCCTATTAAATCCACATAAACCATTTTTAGTCACCTCACCACTATTTGAAAACTTTAAACCCACCATAGGACGACGACGGTCACGCTCCGCGGTGGGTGGATCCTCGTCACGTCCTGGTGCTGTGGGACATCCGCCAGGGCTTGCGCTCCCTGACCTTGCAGGAGGCCGGGGATGTCCGGGTGTGCTACGGAAAAACGGTGGAAAAAACTGTGGAAAACACGGAAAGACGGTGAACAACATTGAGTTCATACAAGATATATCAGGTGAACCTAAACCATTCTAGACGTAAACATTTTGTTTTGGGTGGTCTGGCTTCAGTTAAATCATATTAGGACGTTCGAAATAAAATGCTGATGTCCATGAACCCTCATCTTTATCAGATTGTGTGACAAGTTGCAGCCACCAATCGGTTTTGAATGATGACCCTTTCACCTTTCTTCAAGGACCGTTTGCCGTGGGTCATCCTTTCACTATTTTACCATCGCAGGATTTTTTATTTGATTCCATTATTGTTGGAACAAAAAACACGCTACAGTGAAACAAAACGCACCAAAATGATTCAAAGATATTCAAAGATATATTCAAAGATATTTTGGCCAATTTTAACCATGAGGCAAACATAGGTAAACCCCACTTTTTCTCACTTACTCGTAGCTTTTATCCAAGACTCGCTCAGAACGACCCCAGGCCATGTCTCCCTGCAGGTCTCAGGTGCAGCCAAGGGCACTGTGGTGCCGCAGTTGGAAGGTGACAAGGAGGCGGCACTGACGTTGGAGTTGCGGCATTATCTTCTTGAAACTGTTTACCTTAATCTTCTTTAAACATTTCTTGGCAAGATAACACAGATACAGGATTAAAGATAAACATGCTTCTTTAAGCATTTCCTTGATGGCCATTTTTTGATTTGTTGGCAAGATAACGCGGATACATTTCCAATTTTCGGGTGAGAAACTATCGACAAAAACATGGAGATGTAACATATCATATGAAAATCATCTAACTTTGAGCCAGACATGCAAGACTCATGCAGACATGAGATGAAACATGTTCACCAACAATTCACCAACCTTTTTTTCCAACTTGACTCAACTATGAGGCCATAAACATCAACCATTTTCACCCGAAAAAAACCATGGCAGCCATGGCAGGAGCTGCAGCGGATGGACTCCAGTCACTGCGCTGAGGTGGTGGAGCGCCTGACGGATGGAAAAAGACGACGACGAGAGAGGGTTGATGGGGCCATGGGGGATGGGTTCTGCCATGGGTTGGAAGGGGAGCCATCCCAGACTTTGATGATGATGATGATGATGATGATTGGATGATTGGATGATGGAGTTAGTCAAATTTGATTGCTGTAGCTATAGGTGAATGCTTAGGTGGCTGAATTTCGCGGGATGATGGATGAGTCTGGAAAAACTATAACATCATAGCAAATTTTGGGGTTATGGAGTGGGGGACACATCCACAAATGACCCTTTTTCAGGTTGGTGAATCATTGAAATTTATGCGGATGATGGATCATGGCCGAGTTTTTCTTGGTCTGTGTTTGGATGAGCTTTTTGGACATTGCCGGTCAGTTGCGATACGTTGAGGTGGGGCTTTTGGTCTCATGTACCCTCCTGGTAATCAAACGTGGCTTGCTGGAAAATCACTCATTTACAGATGTTTTCCCACAAGACCTTAATTTCTCGGGGATTTCCATGGGTTTCCCTATGGTTTCCCATTGCTATTTGATTACTGGAGGGTACTTATTCAAAGAAGTCTGAGTTTGTTTCTTTCTTTTGCGGGCTCTTGGCTAATTATTAAAATTATATCCCTGGAATCGCTGGTTTATTTGTTCCTCATGGCTTGTTTATTTTTTTCCCATGAGAAGTGGCTGTTGTCCCCAGGCTGTTCAGAAATGTTCAGAAATGAGGTTTGGCGTTGAAGTTTGCATAGGCATTGTTTTCGTTTGTGAAGTCTATGGCCGTTGATGGCTGTTGAATTCTTGGATTTGGACATCGCCAGCATTTGGACATCGCCAGCACCGGGACTCATTGATGCGGTTGCCAAGGCTTGAGTTTGCTTGTGAGGATGGTCGAGAAAATTCGCTTCCGGATCCAAAAAATGCCTTGGAGGGGGATACTCAACCATCAAATGGGGGATGAAGCAGGTGAAACCAGGAATTTGCCATTCATGGGTGAAACCATGGGTTGAATTACCGACAAAGATTTGAGTGAAGCGACTGGCGGAGTGACATGCGTTTTGCAAGGCGTGAATGAGTGACATTGGTGAGGATGTGTCACGACACATGTTTGAACATGCCTGGGTTTGCTGCTTCTATTCAGCCCTGTGGGCATTTTCGAAACAGCATACCAGAAATCTTTCTTCTGCCTAAAGCATTGGTTGAGATTACGCACATCACGTCCATTTTTAGCATAGAATTTATGAATTTCAACAGAATTTGGCACGTTTTGCTTACCTTTTGGCTCGCTTGCTTTCAGCAGACTACACTGGGCAATGCTGCCTGCCGTTCCAACAATAAAGGGCTGAGCGGTTTGAACCATTTCCATTCTCCATTTGCAAAATGGGATGATGATTCTAAAGTGGGCAACTTGTTCATTGTCCTAGCGAGTTGAAACCACAACAAGGAGAAAACAAATTGTTGAAGTACTCATCGTTGCTGGTTGTGAAGCCACTTTGTCTGGTTAAGTCACCACCAATCTGCCTCCAACTTGACATCGCTTGGGAGATGCAGCTTCTGGTGATGCTAATCCCGTGGTGGCTCAGGCCCCATGGTTTTGGGTTGACAGGATGCTGACGGGATTTTGAGTGGCAGATGTTGGTCATGACAGATACCAACGGTTGCCAACCTTCTTCCACTTGAAGAAGCTGCCCTCCTGACGACTTCATCGCCGCATCCACCCCAGAAATGCTGAACCACTGAAAGCCTCGCATCGGCAAAATCTGATTCTGGTTTAGGAATTTTGGGATTTCGATTCCCAGCTTCCTCCATCATTTCCCCATCCCCCATTCCCATCCATTACCCTATCCCCTGATCCCAGGTGCTTTGATGGGACCAAGTGGTAACTCATCTGCCAGATGAGCGCGTGGGTGCGGACCATCGGAGACGAGGTGCAGAAGAGATCAACAGCCCAACAGCCATCTTTGTCTACAAGATCTATCTACTAGATCTGCACCTAACACATCTCTGAAAAAATTGGGCTATAATATGATGTTATTTGCCATGTTTTAAGTCAAGCACGCCAAGCTATCAGGGGACCCATGCAGATGATTCTCCTGATGTCAGTGATTTCTGCCTCTGGTTTCACACTGGTGCCGGAACTGCCAGATCTGATTGCCACCGTGGGACAAGTCTTCCATGGAACATTTTACATTGAAAATGGTCGTAGAATGGTCATGATCACGATCATCAAATATCATCAATACACGTCGTTGATCGTTCAACCTGTTATAATAATTGTTAATTAACTACATATATCATAACAGGTTGATGATAATTATCAATATAATAATATAATAGGTTATAATATTGTTATAAGCTATATCATCATAATTGTTTTTTTTTTGGCATAGCTTCCTCAACCCCTTTGTCCTCCAGGTTTCCAAGGCCTGGGGCACCTTCGAAGCGCTCGCATGAACTGCGGCTGGAACGCTCGCATGACGCAGCCGGGGAGCCCTTTTCGCCACAGGAGGCGGTGGATGGGCACGGGAAGGGAAACACTATGCTGGACCATCCTCCATGGTGGTCATGCAACATCAGAATGATATGATACTTATAGATCTTGAATGGCAGTGTGTCAAAACCTTGTACCCCTGGTGAACATCAAAATAGCTGGTGCGTGGATGGTCATTCCCCTAAAAATGGTATTTTCATAGGTATTGATCCATACCCATATGTACTTATATAATGTCATATAATTATGAACGTTACAAACCTGATATGATGATTTGAACACATGTAATCGATGCTTTCACGGCGAAGATCTTTGGGGCTGTTTTTGATTTGAGATGTGCCGAGGTGCCGTGGACGCGTGGGATGCTTGGAAGCCATCGACAACGCCGGCGACGTGGCACAGAATCAGAAGTTCCTATGGGGACGCCATGAATGGGGCCATGAATGGCTGGGTGGAACGCTGAATTTGCGGACGCTTTACCCTCTGGTAATAGCTGACATAGCTATTGAAAATGGCCATTTATAGTGGATTTTCCCATTAAAAATGGTGATTTTCCATTGCTATGTTAGTTTACCAGAGGGTATTTACGGATCCATGGATTCCAGTGGCCAGCTGACATGGTGACTTCAGGTGGACATCCAACAGATCCAAAGGACTTGTCTGAGGATGCCATTGGTCAAATCATGGCTCACTTTTGCACCCGCGACCTTTCCAACAATACTGCTGAAGGTGATCTTGGATGGGCTGCAGCTTTGAGTTTGGGGTTCCACATCCCAACGTAAGATTCAACAAATACATGTGCAAGAAAAATGACCACCACTGATTGTCTCTTCAGGTATGCATTTATAGTTTGAATATGTTTTTATATCATTCAGCTTGCATCAATCAATACAGCATGTTTGGGTAACCCTCTGGTATAAACCATCAGTGGTGGTCATTTTCTTTCACATGTATTTGTTGAATCTTACGTTGGGATGTGGAACCCCAAACTCAAAGCTACAGCCCATTCAATACCACCCCCAGCAGTATTCTTGGAAAGGTCGCCGTTTTTGGGGTACCCAAGACAGAACAAATGATGGTATTTACCTTCAAAATGGATGGTTTAACCTCTAAAGTGGATGGTTTTACCAATACAATGGATGGTTTCACCCCAACAATCTAGAGTTTTGCCCGCAAAAACCAGGGTTTTACGACGCAACTGTGTCTACCTAAGAAAACTGACCCGGTTCCCCTGGTTTCCGTTTGCTAGGTCCTCGTCCCTGGAACCAGAGCCTTCGTCTGGCAGGTGAGTCTGCCAAGTGTCCGGAAACAGCCAACGGGGGCAATATTTGACATGCTACATGGGAAAAGAATCCATGATTTTTATGAATTTTCCATGATTTTTCTGTGGGTGTTCAGATTGCCGGATTCCCCACTTCAATGAGGTTAAATCAAGTTTTGAGTCAGTAGCTACTCGCTCATTTGGAGCTGTGGAATGAATGGCTGTGCCTAGGTATGTGGCAAGCCGCGGGAAGATTGTGGGAAACCATAAGCACCACGACACCCACGATTCATCCAAACATATCCAACCCCATTCCATCCCTATCCTCCACAAACTGTTGCCCCCTCAGTTATTAGTACATTGTACATCATTGTACATTAAACGGGCCGTATGAGTCTATCTCATTTTTGGCAAACTTTGAAATTGTGATTCCATATGATTCCATGTATATTATATTTTTCACATCCCACACATGAACAATACTTTGCTGCACAAGGATGCACGCCAATTGGTAGGGATGCCTGCAGCCTGGTGCTGTGGTTGATGTATGCGGGCTGATGCAGGCTGCAAGGGTTGGAACTGGCCCGATTTAATGGAGGAATTGCAGCCACCATCCAAGAATACCTATAAAGGATTTGTAAAGGTTGAAATTTCTGATATAGTTGATGGTTGACAATGATACATATATTTTTGTTTTGATAGTTGATAATAATTTATAATGGTTCCCCTAAAGGCTGGGTAAATGCTGAAACGGAAATACCACCATCCCTCTGATGCCATGTGGGGTGGATGGTGTTTGGAGGTAACGCCTGAGAACTTGAAACGACACCTATCTGGACACACGGACACACCTACTGGTTTCAGCCCTGGCCTGAGCTTGACTGGTGCGAATGGCCAGCAGAAGACATTTGGGTGATGCTATGCTGTGGTCTCTTGAGCCCCTTCCGAAGGGTGTAGAGCGCAGGAAGTGAATGGGCTGCGAAGTTCAATCATTTGACATTTTCTTGACCTTGTTTGACTGGACTGTTTGAAAGATTTGAAAGTGAGATGCTGCTCCACCTTGGCCCCAGCACTACACGAGTGCATCATGCCCCATAGGCACCGTATTCGCACCACATCATTGTTAATCAAGCAATCCTGCACTTCAACAACCAACCGCCTGGCGGCACTGGCCGCCCACCAGGACAACCATCAAACAACATCAGAGGGACATCCGAAGTGAAAGCCAGGCAACACACATGGAGAACCGCACTGAATACCACATTGATTCCATGGTCTTGCCACGCCGGTAGCATCCACCAGAGACACGTCACGCACCTGCCGGTCACTGACGCCATGGCCGAAGGAAGCGTGGCACAGAGGGCAGGGGCAAGTTGCATGGCAGCACTGACTGGGGGGGGGCTGAGAGACACAATGCGATTGGTAATAAAGCGTGTCTTCATCCGGATGATGGTTTGCTGAGTCACAGCAGCCCCACAAATGCATCCCCAGAAGATCGGGGCGTTCTCTGTTTTGTGTCCAAGCTTCAACTTGAGTCACTACCTAGAGCTGGGACTGTTTGATGCCATCATTGCAAGCCAGAAAAACACTAGTAACCTGGCAGCAGTTTAGCTGGCTAGAGGTGATCTTCATCATTTCAACGTCTTTGGCATATATGAATAAGTAAATATAAGTAAATGAACACTATCTATCTATCCATCTATCATCATCTATCTATCCATCTACTGTATCTATCGATCGATCGATCTATACATATACATGGCTATGTTGCAGTTGCTTCACCAGGTCCATCATCCATGGCAGATGGGCAACCAAAAATGCACATCATGAAGGAACCACGGGTACCTCTACAACTTTGTGCCCCCTGGCCCAATCAGGTTGCCTCTTTGTGGAAGTTCTTTCTGTGCCACATATGCGAACATATCTGGAAGGAAACAACGTTCTGGTTGCATTGATGCATACCGTCAGAGCGACATCTATTCCAAAGGAACTCCGGAGAGCTGCCAAAGCGGAGCTGATTTCGGAGCTGATCTTTGCCAACGCTTGAGAAAGCTTTTCTCTGGTTCTGTGTCAAAGTAGGTGGCTCCATTTGCACTTGATTGAATGGGACGGGCAGACATACTACATCTGATTGTATGTTTCTTCTGATTTCTCTATCCATTTGTATCTGCGTGTCCACTGCCTTTCGACATCCATGTTTCCATGCTGAACAGTTGCAAAGTCAACAATATTGTTCTGTCTGTTGCAGTGGCTCTGGTCCGGCCTTGCAAAGCTCCCGAGGAATCTGAAGATCCAAAGTCAAGTTCAAGAAGCCTTGCTTGCCATTCATGAAGCCGAAGGTGATGAGACAGATGCTGCCCCTGAGCAGGTGGACTGCGCCCGCAAAATTCAGAACTGGTCCAAGGAGATCCTTGGAAGATTGGCTGTGGTGCCTGCAGAGAACTTGGATGATGAGGATGATGAGGATGATGAGACCTTAGAGCCATATGAGCTTTTCAGGACCAGCTGGGGCATCTATAGTGCAACTTCGTAGGGTTGATGTGCCAACAAAGGGCAATCAAAAGCCAATTGTGGAGGGGTCGTCCGTCTTCCCCAAACTTCAAAACAGGTTACAAACCTCTTGTTTAAACACCTAAGTAGATCCCAGCTGCCCATCAGGAGGATTCAGCTGGAGGCCAGGAAGGCCATCCAGGCTTGCGGCCGTTTGTCGGACATCGCCCGCCTGGCTTCGGGCATCCTGCGGCTCGCCCGCAGGGTGGAGCAGTGGCACTTGGATCGGGACACGGTGCTGATGCAGCCGGCAGCAGCTGATCCGTTGGTGGCGGCCAATGAGGACTGGATGATGGTTGATTTGAGATGGTTTGAGTGCCTGCGTGGATTATCTTTTTAATTTTTTTAAATAGCCCTTGTTCGGCAAATGGAGGATGACTCAGTACAAGATTCAGACTTCTTCACCGAGATGACACGAAGCCGAATGGCAGCCCGTCAGGCACCGACCGCAACTCGGTCCTTAGAATACCACTCCTCGGAAGGGGGGTCTCGGGTGACTCCGGGTGATCTGCCGAAGATTGAGGAGGAAGATGAGGTTTTGGGCTTTCGGGCTGATGCATCGTTGCTAGCGGGACCTAGTTATGAAGAGGCCTTGCAGGCGGCAAAGGCTGAGGAACCCATGTGTGCCAATTGCTTGGGTCCACTTCAATCGGAGCCTGGAGTAGTAGGAGAATGTGAGAGATGCGTAATCTGTGGGAACGATTTTGTAAATCTGTGTTACTATTGCCTGCGGTGCGGCTTGGGTCTTTGTGTTTCCTGCTGTTTGAAGAAACCTGAGATGGAAAGCAGACTTAGTTGTTGGCAGTTACGTCACGGCCGCAGTTTACACAACTCACCGAAGACGTTCGAACCAGAAACGCTGGTCCGGGTGCGTCTTGAGAAAGGAGCTGACATCAATTCCAGAAATTACTTTCAGGGTGAAACCCTCCTTCATGAGGCAGTAGCATATGGCTGGGACGCATTAGTGCAGGTGCTTCTTAAGAAAGGAGCTGACATCAATGCAAGAGACACCCACGGCCAAACCCCCCTTCACCTGGCAGCAGGACATGGCCGGGACACATCAGTGCCGGTGCTTCTTGAGAAAGGAGCTGACATCAATGCAAGACACAACTACGGCAGAACCCCCCTTCACCTGGCAGCAGAACATGGCCGGGACACATCAGTGCAGGTGCTTCTTGAGGAAGGAGCTGACATCAATGCAAGAGACAACCACGGCCAAACCCCCCTTCACCTGGCAGCAGACAATAGCCAGGACACATCAGTGCAGGTGCTTCTTGAGAAAGGAGCTGACATCAATGCAAGAGACACCCACGGCATGTTCCACGGCCAAACCCCCCTTCACCTGGCAGCAGCATGTGGCCGGGACACATTAGTGCAGGTGCTTCTTGAGAAAGGAGCTGACATCAATGCAAGAGACAACCACGGCCAAACCCCCCTTCACCTGGCAGCAGACAATAGCCAGGACACATCAGTGCAGGTGCTTCTTGAGAAAGGAGCTGACATCAATGCAAGAAATGTCTGGGATGACACCCCCCTTCACTGGGCCGCACTTCGCGGGGACACATCAGTGCAGGTGCTTCTGGAGAAAGGAGCTGACATCAATGCAAGAGACAACCACGGCCAAACCCCCCTTCACGTGGCAGCAGAAAATGGCCGGGACACATCAGTGCCGGTGCTTCTTGAGAAAGGAGCTGACATCAATGCAAGAGACACCCACGGCATGTTCCACGGCCAAACCCCCCTTCACCTGGCAGCAGCATGTGGCCGGGACACATTAGTGCAGGTGCTTCTTGAGAAAGGAGCTGACATCAATGCAAGAGACAACCACGGCCAAACCCCCCTTCACCTGGCAGCAAAACATGGCCGGGACACATCAGTGCAGGTGCTTCTTGAGAAAGGAGCTGACATCAATGCAAGAGATGATGAGCACGGTCAAGCATCAATGCTGATTGCAGGTTGTGATTTTGCGGCAACCTTCGCATTTTTGTCGCGGGGCCTCGCAATATTTCGCAATGTGTTAGGAAGGGGCAGAGGTGGTTTGTGCTTCACTGAACTGCTTCAGCTAAATCAGCTTGCAAACCAATGTAATATTATATATGGTTGCATGAGCGGCCTTGCTCTGGCAATCTTTATGCTTTGGAAAAGTGATGGATTGGGGTGTTTGGCTCTTTGGCAGGGTTCCTTGATCTCAGTTCAGTTTTCATCCACACCCATGTTTCACCCACCTGCAAGTGTATCACATACGTCTTTCTGTACATCTCTTATGCCAACGTCTTGTGTCATGCGTCATCCTTGTCTGGCCCAACCATGGGGAGATACAGTAGTGATCGCGAGGTCTGCCAGCATCACAGTAAGCCAAGGCCTCAGCAGCTGGACGCTTTGGGCAGTTGTGATACGCCTTGATGTTTGTTTTTGCTGGATGTATTTGAGGCCTGCTGAAGAGTCCAAAGATCATCAAAGGAATTTTTGTCAGACCCACTTAGATGGAGTAGTTGGAAATGTGTGGCAGTGTATTTGGGCATGCCCACGCTACTCGTCTATCTACCCAAAAACAAACGCCGAAGTGTTTTCAATCTACGCTAACATTTCAATCTACGCTAAGTGACACTACACCTTTGAACATTGAAACATATCCAAGAGGAAGGCCGCATCACCCAACCGGCCCAACCGGACCCTCAGCTGACTCAGGTGGACGCTCTCGCATGATGCTGTCAGGAGTCTTTGCTAGGGTCAGCCTGGACTTTCCACCAGGGTGTTCTTAATTATGTACATGGTGAGCATGGCGCATTGGTGTGTAAAGCACATCGTGAACCATAGGAAAAATATAATGCAGCGATGTGGTTGAAAGATACGGACATGAGATGTGAATTCTTCATGGCCCAAAAGCTATGGGAGGCATTTTGGGGCGCATAGTGATCGTAATGTATCGTAATGTCATACACTAAGACATAGTGACAGTAAAGCCCAAAACATCCGAAAACATGATTTGATGATATTTGATGTGATTAGCCCCACAGCTTGACACCCCGCCAAGTGAGCTTTAAGTATCGCAGAGATGACAAAGTGCCACCTGTGTTGGGTAATTAAATCCAAATTTCACACCGCTTCATATCCAGCATGTGCCAACCAGTTTTTTCAAACATGGGGCTGAATCAAAAGATATCAAAAGCATACTGATAGTGGTTCACAAACGATCTCACTTCATTTCCCGCGTCCTCATTGTACAAAGCGGAACATCCCGGCTCCGCGCCAGCTTCTTGCCATGGCTGAAAACGGAGAAACCCTAGAGCCAGAGCTGCCAAGCAGTCCCATGGCGGCACTTGGAAGCGGGCCCTATTATAACCGTAGATGAAGTTCAGGGTAATGTTTTTCAGTAGTAGCAAGCAGTCGCCGTGCTATGCCACTACGCTGTACGGGATGGGCGAGCCTTTAAGGTTGTTTGTATGACTGTATGACTGTTGTATGTCCCTTCACTTGGTCCGTCATACGCGATACACTAAAGGTACCAAGCGGTGAAGGTTTCGAAACAGTATTCTGCCCACAATGGATTTGCGTCGAAAAATGTGAGCACTTCGCATTCAGGGACCCATTCAGTAACTCATTGACTCACTGATTTTGGAGACTTTCTCTTGTTGAATGAAATCATTGTTTTTTTTGGGCACCCGAGTTTCAACCATAAGCATATATAATTACCGAGTTAGTGCATTGGTTCATGAAAACTGTATGCCAAAATTGCCTTGCAACATTTTCCCACCTTTGGTGAGATCAGGTTGGCTGATCCAAGCACTTGGGGTGCCACCACTGCAACAAGATTTGGGCCAAGAAGGTCTCCTTCCACTAATGTGCACGATGAGATCAGGCTTTCTTCCCAAGGAACTCGTGAGAGCAGCAAAAGTGGAGTTGATTCTTGGACAGGCTGCAGACGGTTCTTTTATGTTCTTTTTCTTTTTGTGGGGAGTGTTGATGTTACCCATATATGAACCATTATGAGTCCACACTAACTACATTGGCAATCGATGACAACTTTGGACTGGGGCGGTTTTTAAATGTGCAGGCAAATTTGTTATAGCTGTGGACAGGAAATTATTACCATACGACTGCCTCTCCGTGCATCCTTTCAGTATCGTTCTATGCATGCATCCGCACATGCACTTTTGACACCTGATAGCCTGATATCCTTATTTTGCCTCGGTTCCGGATGCTGCACAAAGAGAAAGGATACTGGGCCACTTTCAGCAGATCAAGGACAAAGCCTTCCTTGCCATCAAAGCTGGTGATGATTTCCAGGGCATGGAAAGCTCCTCCGCCATTTTAAACCTGTCATGGGACGTGATCCGGTATTTGGCCGCCGAAGCAGCGGACAACCATCGGTATGCCTATGGGCAGGAACCACTGGTGCTTTTCCGGACCGCCTGCGATGTGGGCCATGGAGAGTCTGAGGGGAGTATGCCATTTTGGGGCTGGGAAAGTAATTATCATCTTGAAGCAATGAAATTTGACTATCTTTTTGGCGCTATCTCAGATTAGTGTGGAAGCTTCATTGCCCATCAACCAACAGGGTCTCTCAAACATCAACCAGGGGTTCTTATTATGCAAAAGTGAACTTGGGCATCAAGACGCTGTCAAATTTGGTGCAAGAGTCCACTTGGACAAGGGACCCTAAAGATGGTCCCCCCAAGTTGTAGACCCCATCCAAGTGAAGATCTTTCCGCTATCAATCCCAGTTAGACCTGTTAGACCACAGTTCTACATGACAGCTTCATTTCCCTAGGTGCCACCTGGGTCACCTTCTTGCAAGCTTCGCCGTGTATTTCGCCACCGTTTTCCCCAGGAGGATCCAAAACCACGCCCGTGAAGCCCTTGAGGCGGGAGCCCCTGGTCTCAGTGACGCGGCGCAACGCGCTTGGTGCATCCAACACGGCGCCCGAGCGGTGGAGGAGCGGTACTGGCAGCCCTGGCAGCCGTATCAGGACGGGGGTGTGGACCGGCAACCTGCGGCAAGCCCTTGGGAATTCGTGGTTTATATGGTCATGGTCATCCATCCCAGGGGAACCCTTAGGGGAGTTTGATAAAAAATATGAGGCAACCTGTGTTAGAGGTTTTGGAATCAAGGGCATGCCCCACAAAACCCGATAGATCATTTTCGTAGAAAGGGCAGGCCCACCACGTTTTGAAACCAGACAATTCAGCAGTTTTCTGAGCCGGGGTTAATGCATTGCGTTTGGTGGAGGATACCTGGATCATCTTTGGTCTGCATAACATCTGGTTTCGTGATTCTTCGTCTCATTTCACCTTTACCCTCTTGTTCGGTTATGTTAAGATATGTTAAGTCTAGATACTGTATATTACACTGTATATGTAATATAATTCTAAACATCTCAAAACGAGTCTAAACGGACCCTGCTTATTTTCATAACATGTTCATTGACAGAATCAACCTGCTTCCTCCCAGTGGTTCACGGGCCACGCCCCAGGAGGATGTCATCCCCGACATCGAGTCCCTGACTCAGTCCACGCGCAGCGCGGTGACCGTTGAGGCCAGCGATCTCCACGGAGAGGTGGCGCCGGTTGGTGCGGACGAAGCGGATGGCCATGGACCCAGTGAGGCTCTGCAGCGATTTTCTCACTGATCGCTTGGTGAACCTCTAGACCCGACTTCTTGCGCAGAAAAAGGGGCGAAATTGGCTGGCGGGGTCCGAAGATGTTTTCCGAATTTGTTATACGTGACTTAAGTGACCATCACTGTTTCAATGGGTTGACACCACCAACTAGCCAGCCACCAACCAGAGTACCTCGTGCCGCGGCAATTTTTTGCTGCTCCCAGTGGATTGCATACCATTCCTTGGCCTCTTGTGCTGGTGAGGATAGCGCGAGATGAGCAGCTGCGGCCATAAGCTGAGTGTGGTCCCCATGGGAGGATCCAGGGGCTGATCCAGCTGAAGTAAGATGCATCCGGCCTCACCTGGGTATATCATAAAAGATCTATATACAGATCCTACGAGATCCTCACAGAGTGGTTTGTTATGAGCCAGTTGTGGCCCAGCACCCACTTTCAGGGATTATCCCCATGGTGCTCAACAAATTCACAATGAATGGCTGCATTAAACCAGACATATGGCGAGAGAGAGAGAGAGATCCATTAAACCCGGATTTCTGGGGCTCAATGGTACAGGGAATAGATTATCGGAGGGTGGGTGCTGTTAGCATGCGTACTTGAGGCGTCATGATTTTCATACGCTATGCATATTTCATAATCACATTAAACAGAAATGGCTGTGTCTGAACATGAGGTAGCAATTTGAGTTATACTCGTACCAGCGGTATACCTATGTAAAATTGCAGCACTGCAATTTTCAATGGGAATTCCAGGATCCTACCATCTAAGGCCATATTTTGTGGGGATATTCCCTTACAATCCTTACATAGGCCTTAAAATCATGATAAAAACATCGAGAAACCCGTGGAATTAGTGGGGCTTCCCCATGATTTTCTGAGATCCGATGTCTCTCTGCACCGTCGAGGCGGTGGATCTTGTGGGATCCCAAAAGATCCAATGATTCAAACTGAAAGATTTCAAGATCCAACTTAGTAACTTGGTCTGGTGATGGTGATGATGATGATGATGATGGTGATGATGATGATGATGATGATCTCAATGGCCTCAATGGCTAAAATCACGAAAGGTAGCCTAGGCTACCTGAGTTCTATGTACTTTAGTACTAGTTTAGTACTGGGGGAGGTGGGTGCTCCTTTCCCGGAAATTGAGAGCCGAGAGTCACGAACGGAGACTTAGGGGGGGGGGGGGCCCCCTGTTTTTGTTTCGACCTAATACCTACATAGGTACATGCATGAGTATTGAGCACATTTATATGCGCCCTTCAAGGCTCAAGAGGTATATAGAGTAACCCTGTAGACAAGCACTGACCGGCAACAGGCTGAGAGTAAAAGAGTGCTGTCATTGGGGAAGACGCCTTAGCTGATCTTGAAGTAGACGCTAGGGCCCCTCTTCAAGTGGTAGCGGAGCTGTGATCCCTCATTGAGGGTGAGCTCCAGGTAGAGCCCAAGAAATGGCAAGCCATGGCTATGATGATGATGACTTCGACATTGTCGATGCAAATGAATGGAACCAATATGACTCTTATGCAATGAGAAGAGCACCCCAGCAAACACAGATTCATATGACGCAACAGATGACCACAAAGGTTGCTCCAGCCTATGATGGGCGAACCAGCTTCTTTGCTTTTGAGGATGCAATTGATGACTGGTGTGACATTACGGAGTTAGAACCAGAGAAACGTGGTCCAGCATTGCGCAACAGACTGGAAGGAGATGCTCAACAATACAAGAGGCTATTGGATAGAGAATTACTCAGGGATCCCTATGAAGGAGTGGCTTATTTCAAAAGATTTCTACGACCTCATTTCATCAAAGGTGCCCAGAACGTGTTCTTATACCGTTTCATGCAGTTCATGAAGTTCAACAGAGGAACCATGGATCTTCAGAAGTGGATGACTAGATTTCAACTCACTGGCAATAGACTTATTGAGTCTTGGATGGATTTACTTCCAGAAGTAACAGTGACTAGTCCTGAAGCAATTCTGTTTGTTCAACAACGACGTCAAGAACATGAACGAGATCAACAAGAGAGAGCTGAAGTAGCAGCAGCCTCAGGAACACCCCATGTAGCTGTTCCTTGGACAGATGAACTGGCACTAGCGGCATTCAGACAATTTCAGGAAAATCGTAGAGAAGCACAGCGACAAGCATTCCCACTGGGTGAAAATTTGCTAGCATTGATTTTTGTAAGTCTAGCTGACCTGAGTCAAGATCAGAGAAACACACTCACAAGTATCATGACACATCGTGGACGAACCCTCGATCGATACAGTATTCAAGAACTACGTGACCTGTTTTTGGAAATGTTTTGCACTACCAAAACAGCAGTTGACAATCCATTGATGCAACCCTCCGGCATGGCACAGAGAAGATCTTTCCTCGTACTGGATGAAGGTGAATTAGAAGGAACCGACGGCTATTGGGCCGAAGATGAAGAAGACGGCGCAGAAGGATTCCTGGATGCTTTAGAAGATGTTTTCTGGGTTTATGATGACGCCAACTTCACATGGTATCAGAGAAGGTTCCAAGGCAAATACATCAGACGAGGCAAAGGTAAAGGAAAGAGAAAAGGAAAAGGAAAAGGCAGAGGAGGACGAAGGTTCTTCAGATCAAGAAAAGGAAAAGGCCGAGGAAAAGGAAGAAGAAAAGGCCGTGCTCACATGGTGAGTGAAGAAGGTTATGAAGATGAATGGCAAGAAGATGAATGGAATGAAAACTATGACGGCTATTGGGCCGATGATCAAACCTGGAATGAAGGCTATTGGGCCTATGATGATCTGTACTACATGGATGAGTATGGATACTTCCAGAAGAAAGGAAAAGGAAAAGGAAAAGGAAAGAAAGGCAAGAAAGGCAAGGATGATGATGGAAAAGGAGGAAAGCCAGGAGATGGAAAAGGCAAGTCGAACTATGTTCAACCTCAGACCACATCAGCTCCTGCCATACAGAATCAACCAACACAACAAGCTCATTATTCTTCTGCAGCTTCAAGTTCTGGTCATGGTTTCTTTTCATTTGGAACAACTGAACCAGCACGTGTTGATGTTGCAGAGACAGAGCCAGCACGTGTTGATGTTTTGACATCCACGTATGCAGCACAAGATGAACAACGACGTACTCGTCGTGGAGGACAGAACCAACGTGATGCAAGAGCACATCAAAACAGGAGAGAAATGAAGAGATTCCCTGTTCTGGTTGGAGAAGTTGGTGCACTACGACAAGGTGTACAACAACGTCCAGCTGTAGTGCCCAGGCAAGTTGGTCTTCAAGAAGGTGAGGCTTCATGGAAGCCATTGGCAGAAGGCACATCATTGTTTTCACATGGATGCTCTACAGAGATAGAGGAACCATCACAGCAGAGTGCTTTTTCATTTCATACTGTACAAACTGATCTGGCATGTGAGAATGGACTAGCTTTTCACACAGAGAATTCTGCACCACCAACTGTGTGTATTCTGGATCTTGGATGCACAAGAGCTATGGGCTCTCGACGAGCAGTTGAAGCATTTTGCAGATATGTTGACTCACATCCCAACAGTGGACTCTGGTATGAAATTCAGCCAACAAGTTCAAGATTCTTCTTTGCAAACTCACAACAATCAAAATGTACTGAGAAGCTCGTGACATTCATGTATGATCATGGATGGAACACTCAGTTTACAGAATTCGACATTGTCGAAGAAGGTGATGTCCCATTGTTGATGTCACTTCCACAGATGAGAAACCTTGGATTTCAATTTGAACTTACTCCAGAGAAGGCTTATTTGTCCTGTGCACGTATTGGCATGAGAAAAATGGTTTTGAGGACAGCCATTAGTACTCATCTCATTCTCGACCTACAAGATGTAGCATGGTACATGAGCCAAGTTCATTTCAAGACTCCACAAGTCAAAAGTTTCTATTCACAACACGATCACTTTGAGTACAGCCAGATTGCTGTCAAACAAGATGATCATGAAGGAGAAGCTTTGGTGACTGGTGACTACTGGCAGGTTGATCCACTACGTCGTGAACTCATCAGGCACCACAAGGACAAGAGAATGAACTTACATGAGATGACTCGATCAGAGAAAACTCCAATTCCAAAAGATCAACTTCTTGATGAGAGAGAAACCCACATGGAATTCCAGAAGAGCAAGAAGAAGGTTCTTCACAAGGACAACTGGCGCACTGAGAAGAAGAGGTTTTCTGAACAGAGTGAAGAGTTCTGGAAGGGCAAGACCATCTACAAGATCAAGGAGGACTACGTGATCCCAGATGACATTGTCAGAAGTGACATTGATCGTGCAAAGCCCTTTCGTGGAAACATTGATGATCTTTTTCACCCTGAGTCAGCCTCTTCAGTGCCATCAGGTGTACAGAAGAAGAAGCCAAGCTCCTTAAAGAAGGAGGAAGGCAACCCGATTTCAAAAGGACCAGGCTCGAAAAAGATTGAGGTAGGTCCACCTGCAGCCAAAAGACACGTAGGTAAGCAGAAACCTCAAGTTGTCGATGACTCTCAATCAGGTTCATCAAGAAAGAAGGTTGTTGTCTCCTATCCCAAGCTTGATGAAGAAGATGAGCTTGACAAGGTAGCTAGGGAATTAGGTTTGGACAAGATTGATTCAGATGAACCTCAAGTCATTGAACCAAAACATTCTGCACCTGCGCGCAACCGTGGTAAGCAAGATTCAGAAAGTCAAGTTGAGAAACTAGGTAGTGATGCTCTTGAGCCTAGGCGAGTTTCGATTCCACTGCCTGGTAGTGAAGTGCAAGCCATGACACCAGCATACAGAAAGATGCTCAGGAAACTGGAGGATAGTGTGGAACTTTACAAGCTTCATATAAACACTATCACATGTCTCCTACTCAATTCAGACGAAGGACTTCCATGTTAGGACTTCCTGACTCTGTCTATCAGAAGTATGAGGAGATGTACAACAAGTGTCGTGTGTGTAGTACTTCAATTGCCACCACCGCCGCGAGCCAGAATTTCAGGCATACGATCCACCAACTTTGGAGATGTTATCTTTGT